CATCATGGGGGCATCGTAGGGGGACAGGCAGACAGGAGATGCGTTACTAGGCAGGACTGAGTTGTTCAGCTGGTTTGCTGAGCGTTCACTGCAGGCCAGATGCGGCGTGATAAAGAGCGGGCTCTGGGAAGGATGGGTGGCTCCATACACACTGCACGCAGACCCGCCACACAGCAGTGTGTGCCATAAATTGTGCATGAAGTTCGCACACGGAGCTTAATCATACAGCAGGCACAGTGGTGCACGAAGGTGATCCCAGCACTCTGGGAGGCTGAGGCAGGAGAACTGCAAGTTGGAGCCCGACCAGGGCAGTTTAGCAGGTTGGTGAGACCCTGCCTCAGAATAAAAAATAAACGGACTGCAGCTGTAGCTCAGTGTGATGTGCTGGGTTCAAGCCCAGGCAGTAGGATTCAGCATCAGCCCAACCTCAATTCGAGTCAGACGTCTGCTGTGTGACATCAGGCAAGCCAGCCCCTGCCCCTGCTCTTCTGCTGCCCACACTGTAGGACGGGCGTGAGAACAAAAGCTCAGGCAGGGGCAGGGCCACTATCACCGATGAGGTACAGTGTCTGGGCACGAAGGGGAGGATTATCCTGGAAGGTAACGTGTAACGGCTCTGTGGTGTTCTGCGCTTGCCAAGCCGCTGCCACTCAGGGCCACAACGGCCAGCGCTGGTCCCCGGCTGTGGAGGGGCGGGCACAAGCAACCCCAGGACTTCGGTGAACCTTGGATGGGCTGTGCTTCCCCCACCACCTGCTTTGCCCCATGAGGCCACACGGAGTGTCTGTGCCCCGGCCGAGGTCCCTGCTCCCCACACCCATCCTTCCTGGCGCCTGCAGGAGTCAGCTTCTGTTCCTAGATCCTTTTCTATCCTTCCTGGTCTGCCTGCTTCCCTCTCTCCTTTTCTTTCTTTTAAAAAATAAATGATTCCAATGATTGCATCTAAATGATTACAGTTTTCTTATGGCCATCAGCAGGATTTAACAACTGGTAGCTTTCCTCTGTCCCATTGCTCAACTCCCGCCTTCCCTGCTCTGTTGTGTGTGTAAGGTGCTGTGTGGTGCATGATGCGTGTATGTGGTGTGTGTGTGTGTGTGTGTGTGTGTGTTGTACGAGTGTGGTGTGGTGTATACAGTCTGGCGTGTGGTGTGTTTGCTGGAGGACTTTGAGCAAACCTGGCATGCAGGCCCCTTGCCTGGCTTTGGGGTGCAGGGTAGCCTCTAGCTCGGAGGGCTGCTAAGCCATCTCAGAGTCTCTGTGTTCCGGGTTCTTCGAGGTTAAGGTGCCCTCAGCAGCCTGCTCTGGCCCTCCTTCCACACAGAGTTGATGGAGATGCAGCTGACTTGTCTTCTGTCACCCACACCTCCTGCGGTGTAGCTGAATCTTCAGAATGGTTGGAGGAGAGTTCCTTTCTCTTGAGCTAGGACACTTTGCGGTGCCGTGTGCCCCATTGCCCACATCAGGACCCCCGCAGGGCTCAGGGGCATGGCCTGGTACTTGTGTTCACCGTGCCTGACCATCTCAAGGCTGTCTGTGGCGCTCTCTCCAGGGGAGGGCCCTGGGAAGATGAAGGAACCCAGGTGCAGTCGACTGGGAGGAGGAGGAGGAGGAGGTCATGGTCCCCACACAGCTGGCCTCTCCCGTCTCCCACAGCTTCTCTGGCTCTGCCATGCTGGCTGTTAGGTGTGGCCGCTGGCTGAGCTACCCTTTCTTCATGAGTGTTCTGGTGGTTTTCCTGCCCCGAGGAAGGGCTTGTGTGGCCCGCAGTGGAGTCTCCTGGGGCCCAGCACATCTTTGTGGCTCCTTTCTGGGGTGACCACGGTGCTGTGGGAGGTTGGTATGGCCACGACCAGGGGAGGACAGGGAGCAGCTCCTGCTGGAGAGGAGCTGAGGGCCTGGTCTCCGCTCTCCCTGGGACACGCCGGTTGTGAAGGCTGCTGTTGTCATTGGGTCCAGAGGCTTGGCCTCCCCACCAGCCCCCGCATTTGACAGTGAGGTCAGAAGGGGTCTCCACCTTGGAGGCCTTAGGAACCTGGGGCCCAGATGCTGGAGACTCACTCCTGCCAGCAATGGCTCACCAGGCTCCGACCCTGTGCGGTTCGCCTGTCCATGGGCTATAGGGTGAGATGCAGGCTCCATCGTCCAGGCCCCTCCTCAGGGGCTCACACTGCTCCTGGCTGCCCCGAGGGGAGCGGCCTCCTCCCTGTGCCCCACTGTGATGTTTCTGCCTCAGTGAAGCCTAAAGACAGGTGCTGCGGACCTCGGACGGGTGCCTCAGGGTCCAAGCCAAACCTCTCCTCCTGCAAGCTACTTTTCTCAGGCGTCTGTCGCAGTAAGGGAAGCGGGTGACACAGGCCCTGGACAGTGGGGTTTTACAGGTGGGGAACCGAGAGAGGCAGACGGCTTTGGGAGCCAGGCTCCACTTTCCTCCCAGGCTGGAGAGAGGGCAGGTGCCTGGGACCCACATGGAGGAGGCTGCATCTGGCCAGGCCGGGAGAGAAGCTGGCAGGTGTGGGGTGTGTGGAGGTGAGCGTGCAGGGGCACGAGAGGCACGGCAGAGGACAGCTGCTTCGTCTTCCCCACGTCAGCCCACCTGGGCACCCTCGAGGCTGTGCAATACACACATGGCCGCCCATCCTTCGACTGAGGGAGTCCACTCCACATCCTGTCCTCTAAGGGCTGGGCAGCAGCATCTTCCAGAGGGAACCACGCTTCCAGGAGCGGCATCCTCCAGTGGCCACAGGGCTCTCTCTGTCCAGCTGTGGGCACTGAGTCGGGGTGAGCAGGACTGGACTCAAGGGTTGTGCCTGCCCTGGGGGACATGAGCCTGGCTGTGGTCACTTCTCTTTGCTCCTACTACAACCCCCGGGTGAGCTGCACTGCCAGCTTGCTAGCCTGACTGACCCCAAGGAAGAATCTGCTTTTTGAAGTCGCGAGGTCTGTTCTGAAGGTGGGGCTGACGTCTGGATGCCACTCTGGGCATCGAGCGAGTCTGATGGGAGGCAGGACCCTGGGCCGCCCAGCACAGCACCTGTGCTTCAGCACACTGTAGGCGGCTCAGCTCCTCGCCGCAGTCCTCACTTCAGAGGCCCCAGGCTGCACCCCGACCTCAGGCCCAGGGCAGAGGGTTGGTGGGAGAAAGGGCTGCTGGGAGCCAGGCAGGAAAGAGGGCCTCCCGGGTTTCCAGGGCCTGTGCCAGTGCACGTGGGCCTCTCGCCACAGCTGATGCTCCTCTGCACACCAGCTCCTGCTGCAGCAAAAGGCCACCAACCTGCTTGGGGCTTGGTACCTTTTTTTGGGGGTACCGGGGATTGAACTCGGGTCCTTGCACTTGTGAGGCAGACGACGGAACCACTGAGCTAAATCCCCTGCCCCTTGGTACCTTTTCGTTAAACAGCTCTCCTCCTTTGTGTAGAGAAAGAGTTTGCTTCTTGGTGGCTCTGGAAATAATTGTTGTCATTTTGTGTGTGTGCACCTGGGAATTTTCTGTGCACATGTGGAGGCACGAACACAAATGTGAAGGGCTCCTTTGTGCCAGGCCTGGCTCTGGGTCCTGAGAATGCAGTGGTGTCCCCTTCACAGACGGCGCCTAGCCTTATACTTTCCTCCCAGTGCTGGGAGACAGGCATTAGGTAACTGGGGAAGTGGCAGACTGTGGGGGCCACTAAGTGCTGTCGGAACCAAATGGTGAGCCGGGGAGCGGTAGGAGGTGTGCACCCGGAGACGCTGGGCAGGACAGTGGGGATCTATGGGTATAGACTGGCAGAACAGAGGAGAGGGAGGGGACAGCTAGGGAGGAAGGCTTCAGGCAGGGGGAATAACAGCAAAAGCCCTGGGGCAGGGCCTGTAGGTGAACAGGAGACAGGCATGGCGGGCTGGAGTCCCTGGGAGAGGGTAGGGGACCCAGGGCTTCCACACTGGCTCCTGGACTCCACCCAAGAAGGAAAGGAACCTGGGGCCTGTGAGGATCCTCATCCGAGTCTTTGGCTGCTGAGGGAGGGACAGGCCAGTGAAGGGATGGAGGCTGGGCGAGTGCTGGGACATGGCTGCAGGGCCAGGCATGCACCAGGGAGGCAGCTGGGTCTGGGTCTGCCTCAGGGTCAGGGCGTGAGCGAGAGTGCATGTGGCCCTTTGCATGTGAAGGAGCAGCTGCGGAAGAGGCGGCCAGGGTGTTAGGAGCCATGGGCAGTGAGGCGTCCAGTTGGTTAGCATGGCAGGTGGCTGATCGCTCGTCCCCTAGTCTGAGCTGCCCAGGACTTGCTTTGACTGCCTTGCAGAGCAGAAGTGGGGTGCGGTCTGCAGCCTCCGAGCCTCGGGGTGCGATCCTGTGGGCCTGATGTTCTGTGGCCCGGCCACAGCTGTCAGCCTGACCAGCAAGCGAGGCCACCCTGGGTCACTGAGAGGCCGCCAACTTTCTACAGATCCAGGAGGAGCCCAGCAGCGCCCAGCCTGGCAGCCTGGCCGGGACAGCGAGGAAGGGAGCTGCTGCGGGCAAGCTGTTGGGCAGCAGAGTGTACTGCTGCGGGGCCTCATCACGTGGAAGGGGTTCCCTGTCTTTGGGCATGGTGGCAGCCTCACTCCCAGGCAGGGTGTGTTGGGTGCTGAGCTCTGAGAGGCCACCAGCGCTCTGCAAGCCGGCTAAGCCCAGACAGGAGGCTCCTCCTCAGTGGCCTCCACGTCTCCCTACCACGCCTCCCCTGTGCGTTCTGATGCAAGCCCATGCGACCTGGTGCAAGTGAGGCATCCTGAGACCTGCACCCCAGGAGGCTTGTGGGACACAGCACGGTGTGCACTCAGCAAGGAGCCGCCTGCAGCAGCTCCCAAGTCAGCTCTCGTGGGGCCGCCTTGGGAGTTGTGTGGGCCATAGCTGCACCACGAGCTCAGCAGCGGCAGGGGCAGCCAGAATCGCTGGTCAGAGAATCGCCTGGAAACATCCACCTTTCAGGCGGATGTAGGAGCCTGGGTGAAGGGATGGAGCATCAGAGCCTATCCTTGCTTCTTATTTACATTTTTAATTATGCCCGAGGTTGAGAATATTCTCCTGGACTTTCTTTTGAAACTCTTGTCTTGGCCTTTTGTCCACTTTCTATTGCTTGGTTTGCTTTTTAAAAAATAGAACCCTGAAAGGTCAGTGGATATTAAGAAAATGTTACTCTACCGCTAAGCACTTTGCAGACGTGTTCTAGAGGAGCTGGAAAAGCAATAAATAACAGAGTCTTCCCTTCATACCGTGGGTTGACAGGTGGGAACCTTCACTTGTGTCGCTGAGCAAGTCTCCGGGGGTGGCCTCTTAGCCTCATCTCCATTTAATGGATGAGGAAAGTGGAGTCAAGGAGATAAAAGTAACTTTATGGTGGGAAAAATCTGAAAGATGTTGAAATGGGAGATAAAATTTAACGGGAACAGGTGTGCGCCTGTGAGCCCGTTTACTCAGCAGGCCGAGCAGCAGACCGAGGCAGAGCTCAGCCTGCAAAGCTTAGGGAGAAGGCTGGGGTGAGGGCCTGGGTCCTATCTCCGGTGATGTAACAGAAGGTTCTACCTCTCACACTCTCCCAGATGCCTGCCTCTTTTCAGCTACTTTTAGTGTACGATAATAAAAACTTCGTAAGGCAAATGACTCTGGTCAGTAGTAATGCAAACCAATCATGTTGGGGATTAAATCGACTATTCCCATCCCTAGGTATGCCTGGGATTCCTCTCGGTGTTCCAGGTTGTGTACACGGGCATCTGGCCTCTGGCCTGGTTACCACACCTTAGAGGTTCCCTCGGCGGTTACTGAGCTCAGTACAGCCCCAGCCCCTGCTCACTTTGTATTTCCCAGTCCAGTTTATGCCACTGTGTCAGAATGGCATAAAGTGGTGTTCTGTAACAAGCAGAAATTTATGGCCTCGAGATTCTGGAGGCTGGGAACTGAGGTCGAGGGCTGGCGTCTGGAGGGCCTTGCAGAGTCGCCCCATGTGGAAAGGCAAAGCGGGCTCAGGGGAGAGCGAGCCCGGGGAGAGATGGAGGAAAGGGCCCCCTTGTCACCCTGTGGGGAAGCCACTCCCACAGCGAGACGTCCTGCCACAGGCAGAGTGCCACGGCTACAACCCACGAGGTCCAGCTCGGACACCGTTTCCATGGCAACACATCTCTAACACCCACTTTTGGGGCACATTGAAACAGAAGCAACATTTACATGCTTTTACCTCTGCAAAGCAGTTCTGCTTGAACTTCTGTCTGTGGGCTCACAGCGCGTCTGAGCCTGGCTCGACCTGGCGCTCACTAATTTTAAGTCTCAGAGCTCTTAGAAAAACTCACGAAAGCAGTGAAGCCCTTTCTCTGGGAACGTGAACACATGGCCAGGCAGAATTCTGCACGATCTTCTGGGTGTTCCTTGGCCTCTCAGAAACTGGGTGAATCACTCCCGGGATGGAGCAGGGGGCCTCGGGGAAGGGACTTCTCTCATGACTAACGCCGAGTGCCATGCGTACGCCCAGTGCCATGCGTCCGCTGGGCATCAGCTCATTTTGCTGTCACAGTGACTGGGTGGCGAGAGCTGGGCGAAGGAGCACACAGAGTGGTGGCTCGCTTGCCCAGAGGTCACACAGCTGGTAAGAGTCTAAGGCGATTTCTTTGTTCCATGCATTTGGAGGGAATAAAATAATTCTTGGGGAAAAATCCTAAGGGAGGAAGCAGCAGCCCCACAGGATGAAGACCCCACGGTGAGGCCAGGACGCCCGGTCCATACCTTGAGCTGCAGCCCTGGCCCTGGCTGACTGAAGGCAGAGCTGGTGCTGCCACCTCCCTGTCACAGGTGTGGAAACTGAGGCCTAGAAGGCTCAGAGGCAAGGGTGCTTGGAATGTTGGAGGGGGCGAAGTCTAAGGACCAGCTCAGGGAGCTGCAGGAGCTCTGGGCTCAGGGGACGTCCCTAGAGTTCCCTGACTGCTGACTGCCCAGCCTCAGGGAGAGGCCCCATCCCCGCAGCAGGCAGGACCCTGCGGACTTGGGAATAAGGGTATTGCTCCACAGGGCACAGCAGTGCAGGCCGGGGAGTCACTGGTCCACTTTACAGAAAGGGAAACTGAGGCTCCGGGTGGAGGTTCCCCCAGGATCTCCTGCAGGGACACAAAGAACCGATTGAAATCTCAGACTTCCCAGGACTGAGGGAGGTAGCTTCAAGCTGCCCCTGCCCTGTGGAAGGTGGTGACTCTGGAAAGGCTTCCCTGCCACTGGGCCTTCCTGTCCAGTGGGACAACCAGACTCTGGAGGGCTATCTGTCCGGCTCTGTGATGTCCACACTGAATCCTTGAAGGCAGAGTCAGACTTACACCCAGGGCACAGTCAGCATCACGCTCTGGCCAAATGTGTCACAGATAGCACTAAGGGACAGCATGGACCCCCGCCTTCCTGGACCCGTCAGGGCTCTGCGTGGCTTGTGGAGAAAAGGGTCCCCAAGGTCACCTTGTGCAGCTGCTTAGTGTTCAGGTGAAGCCAGAGGGGGCCAGGGGCTAGCAGGGGTCCCACAGTCAGAGGATGTGCAGCCTTGGGCGTCCGGCACTCACTGGAGCCCACTGTCCTCTGTGGCCACCACTGTGGACATTGGCTCAGCAACTGGTCTGTGAGTCTGACTTTGCCGAGGTCCAGATGCTGTGGTCACTCCGCCATCACTGCCTAGGTGGAAGTGGCGCAGACACTGTCCCCGCTGGGGGGTGGAAGAGGCAGGACGCAGAGGGCAGATGTGCAGGGCTGCACAACAGGTGGGCCCGGCAGAGGCTGCACCTCCCAAGGGTGCTGCAGCAGGAGAGAGACCCTGGCAGGGAGCCAGGCAGGGGCTGGGTGGCCATGGGCAGGCAAGGAGCATCCTGAGGGAGTGGCAGGCCCTCGCAGCGTAGTGGCCATCAGCACGGGACCCTGTGGGGAGAGACGAGCGAGTTCCAGCTCTGCCTGGGCTGCATCTGTCCCGTGCCTGGGCAGGGGACCGACTGGTCCTGCTTGCCCTGGACTCTGGGTTTAACACCGAGGCCCTGTGCAGATGGTGGCCACTGTGGGAAGCTCAGGGCCTGGGCTGGGAATTCTTGAGTCTTGTAGGGCACAGCAGGGCTCTGGTCTTGGCAAGCAGCTCTGTCTGCTCTGCTCACGGCAGCACTGTAGGTGCAGCACCCACAGGCCCTTGAGGGTTAGGGAGCACTTCTTGGGCCCCCACGAATTCCCCGTGTCTCAGTCACCCTGCCCTTGTCCAAACTGTTGTGGCCCCTAGGGACAAGGGGATTCTTCAGGCCACACTGTGGGGCATGCGTGGTGGTACTGGGACTTGTACCCTGTGCCATCACCAGGGGACGAGGATGGGGACAGAGCCAGTGTTTTCCCAGTGCTTCTAGAAGGGTCCCCTTGACCTGGCACTGGACTCAGCCTGGGGCCCCACCTCTGGGCTGGGCGAGGCCGGGCCGGGCCGTCCCGAGATGACATCCCCTGTCCACTGTGGGGTTGGGCCACTCACAGCTATGTCCAGGTTTGGAGGCAGGGCAGAGACAGCCTTGCCCGGCTGCTGCGGGGTGCCCAGGCCACCCATCTTCTCTTGCTTCCGCCACTTGGCACGCTGGTTCTGGAACCAGATCTGCGGTCAGGAGAGGGTGGGGATGCATGAGAGTGCGGTCTCATCCTGTGCTCCTCCAAGCTCATCCTGGCACCAGCAGGGCTCAGTGCAGGAGCTGAGGGTGCCACAGGGACAGGGCCCAGCCTTCCAGGAATCAAATCTGGTGCAGACCAAATCAAACCCATCTGTGGCTGTTTTCTCCCAGCAGCCACCGGCTGGCAGCTTTCATGGCTGGACACGGGCAGCTCCCAGGTGCCCTGTGACCCCCGACACACGGCTGTTTGGGCCGGAAGATTTTTGGGGCAGGTGTTTGATCCTGGCTTATGGCAGACACCAGTGCTGAGTCCAAACTGGCACCCAAGTGCACAGGGGAGAGAGGGGAGAGGCCAAGCCCAGGTGTCCTTGCCAGTGGGGAAAGGAAGGGGAGAAGAGAGGTGATGGCTGGGGTCTAAGTTTAGGGTTTGCAATTTGTTTAAAAAGGATGGAGAGTGATGTGGAAGACTGTGTTAGAGAAACTGCCAACAGGACAGCAGCCGGGTCTGGTAGGATTTGCACGCCAGCCCTATTTGTTTGAAATCAAAATTGAGGATGAGGGGAGAGGGTAGGGTGCACGGGGCGGTGACCTGGGCTTCCGGATCTGGACTAGGGATGCAGCGTGGACACCTGGGATGAGGAAGACAGGTGATCGGGCCGCTGGTGGAAGTCAGATTTGGCTTTGGACCAGCACTGCCCTGGGGGCACATGCACGTCCAGATTGGGGTTGGCTGAATGCACCTGCAGGCTACACCTGGCTTCCATGTGGTTTTGAGGGCCCGTGAGCTAAGCATGGTTTTCATGGTTGGGCATAAAATCAAAATTAGAGTGCTGTCTTACAACACATCCACACAAGATCCAAGTCTCAATGTTCATAAACAAGGCATCTTGGGACCACCACTGTGCTCCTTTGTTTTCTGTTGCCTTGGTAGGGTCGGACGGTGGCTCTGACCATGGCCCATGCCCTCTGAGCCTCCCATCAGTGCCACCAGGCCTGGATGGAACAAGTGAGCCTGGTGTGGACTGCCAGGACCCACAAGAGGCGATCAAAAAGTACAGTGACCAGGGCTGGGGATTTAGCTCAGTGGTTCTGGCACCTGCCTTGCAAACTCAAGGAACCGAGTTTGATCCATGTACCAAAACAAAACAAAACAAAACACCCCAAAATAAAAAAAAAAACAGTGGCCAGCCGGGTGGTGGTGCATGCCTGTAATCCCAGCACTTGGGAAGCTGAGGCAGGAGGATTGCTATGACTTCAAGACCAGCCTGGGCTGCATAGTGAGTTCCAGGTCAGTCTCAACTACATAGTAAGACCCTGGCTCAAAAAAACAAAACACAACAGGGGCCGGGGATTTAGCTCAGCGGTTCGGTGGCCTGCCTCGCAAGCGCAAGGACCTGAGTTTGATCCCCGGTACTAACAACAAACAAACAAACAAACAAACCAACAAAACACAACAAAACATACAGTGGCTGTTTGGATTAATAATAGATTGTTGCAGTAAAAGACCTTGCCATTGATCCCCCTCAAAAAACTCCCCGTCACTTCAAACTCACTCTTCCCATAATCCTTTGGGTAAGTGTCTATCATCCCAGTGTCATTAGGAGGTGTGACAAAAAATGCAATGAAAAAATGCTGCTACCAAGTGCTGCCAACGGAAAGGCAGCTGGTGAAAACATGACGCTGTGTCCTCATACACTTTAGTCATCAGACCTGGCATTGCCAGACTTCCGGCTCTTCCCCAAAGTCAAAATGACCACGAAGGGTGAATGTCTTGAATCAGTTCAGGTCATTGAGGCAGCCATGACAGTGCAACTAAAGACACCGAGGAAACAGAACTCCAGAGTTGCTGCAGACAGTAGCATGAGCAGTGGCCTGGGTGTGTTTGAAGTGAAGGGAAGGGTTTTGAGAGGGATTACTGGTAAGGTGTCTTTTACTGTAAAACACATTTTACTTATTTATTATTTTAAACTGTTTATTCTTTTTATGTAATCGCACATCTTCTCTTTCAATCACAGCTTATATGGGAATGGGGCTGCAAGCCACAGGGAGCAGGGCTCAGACACAGAGCTAGGCAGTCTCAGATACCTGGTGCTCGCCTCCTCTGTGTCTACCTGAGGAGGGACACGGCTGAGAGTGAGGTGACCTCTGTACTGGGGAGATTAGCCTCAGCCAGGGTGGCCATGCCTGGAGACAGACCCAGTGAGGACTTCCTGGGGCCCTGGTGGGGAAGGGCAGCCATACCTGTACCCGGGCCTCCGGAAGGTTGATCCTGGCGGCCAGCTGGCTGCGGATGTGGACATCGGGGTAGTGGGTGAAACGGAAGATCTTCTCCAGCTCCTGCAGCTGCTCTGGGGTGAAAGTGGTGCGGGCCCTGCGTCGGGCCTTCCTCTCTGCTGAGGGGAGAGGCCCAGAGGTCAGGTTGGGCTGGGGCCATGCTCTCACCCATGTAGCTAGGACTGAAAACAATCGCCGCCCGCTCCTTACTGAGAAGTGTGACAGCCCTGGTCTGCAGAGTGAAGGCTCTGATGCAGATGGGACTTACCCAGCACCTCCTGTCCCCATCCGGCATGGCCCGTCCCTGTTCATTCTCACTTTCACTCAGGAACGGCAGCACTTGTCGGCCTCAATTCCAAGTGGATACTGGGGCCCCTTGTTCCAAACGAAGTGGGAAGCTTTCCCTCTCAACCCAGGCTCTCGACTGGTCATGGTGGGTTTTCAGTTTGCCATTTAGTTCTGTGCTCCCACGGCAGAGGTCAAGGACCTCCCAGGCAGGGCTTGGTGACCCGAGGCCCGGGGTCGTGGTGCCCAGTGTGGAAGCTGGTCTCAGCCTGCATTGCAGGCCTTGCATGCCACCATCCTGGGCACCATGCCCTGCCCCTGCAAGGTGGGGGCAGACTCCAGGCCAGGCTGGAAGGAACGAGTAGGCTGAGAGCACATCCTGGGGCAGGGGGAAGGGAGAGGCCAGTGGCTGGTTGAGGCTCCAAGCTTCAAACCTGATGCCTGTGGCACGGCCTTCTGGACTTGCGCAGAGATTCAGACCCAAGACAGCTTCCGGCCCCATCATGGGGGCCTCCTGTGGGTCACACCACGGGCCAGGCTGTCTCGTCACCTGAAGCCTGCACACCCAGCCTGCTCACACTGGCACACTCGCCCTCTCTGGCACACTGTGCCAGTGTCACACGCTGGCTCTTCTCTGATAACCCCGGGTCTGGGGCCTCTGCTCTCTCGCTTGCAATTCCAAATAGTCACAGCCTGCCCTTCATGTAACAAACTCCCACAACCTGTGCCTCTAAAAGGGGCTGAGAGACAGTGTGATTTGACAAGTGGACATAATTCACGTACCCTCATTTAAAAGAACACAATTTGTTCATGTTTCTATTGATCTCTGTTCTCATATGATTCATGCTACTTGCCATGCTAAAAAAAAATGTCATTATGTTCAACAACACTGTTTGTCTGAATTTACAGCCATGGGGTTCCCAAAAAACATGAAAACAAATAATGGACCTTCATATGTTAGTAAAGTTACTCAACAAATTTTCATACCTAACATGTAAAACATATTACAAATATACCTTATAACCCCCAAAACAAACAATAATAAAAAAGTGCACCAAAGTTTAGAAAAGTCAGTTACTTAAACAAACAAATAAACACATTCAAATACCCCCCAAACAAAAAGAAATTTAACAAATTTTGTTTTAAAATTTTTAGACCCTGCTGGCTCTACCTTGCCACTGGCCATGCTTTACTGAAACAAACTGTGTCCACCACTAAGGCTGGGCCACAGATACGCTAAAAATACAGACCAGTGCTCCACACGTTCCTTCCACCTTAATAACATCAGAACCTGGTTTTTGTTTTGCCTTAACAAATGATAAAAAACCGCTATTCCTGCCATCCCAAAACAAAACAAAAATCAAAATAAATCCCCAAACAACAGTACAACATAACACCCCCACTAAAAGCCATACAAAAGCTAAATCTAAACAACTCCCTTCACAACCCAAGGCCCTCAAACGTACACCAACAAAGAGCTGCCCAGAGGCGCTGCCCACTCCCACCACCAAAACCAAGGTGTCAACCAGCTCCACAACTGCCAAACCAAAACGATCATCCAACTCAAATGATAAAAGAAATCAATCTAAAAAATATTGTTAATTTCCAAAACAGAGTTTCGGTCTATATCCCTCCCATTCTGTACATACTGCTCATTTTATAAATAATTAAACAAAAACTACGGATAATAACCAAAAAAGTCCAACAAACACTAACCTTAAATCACAAACTCAACCTGCTATAAAAAATAAAAAATCAACAATATCCAAAAACACTCCAGCCCCAGTTATCTTTAATACAGCTAACACAATGTCTGAAAACAAACAAAGAAAAAAAAGAGAGATGAGAGAGCCCACAATATTGATTATGCTTCAAACACGTCACACATAGTGCAGGCTGCAAAGAGTTAAATCCCTCAATTGACTTTAAAAAACAAGTCTAACTAAAAGTACACAACTAACAAAAATATCTCATAAACACTGCGACAGCACACAGATTAACACGACCTCCCTGCTAACAGTCTATAAAACTGTGGAGCTAACGCAAGATAACATCCATGGCTAAAGTCAAAATAAATCACATCCAAATGCCATTCCTACAACTAAACCTTCATAACTCAAAAGACAATACTGCAATTACAACTGTATATTTTATCTATCTTCTAATTTAAAAATACTTTAACTCTTCTCTTTAAAGCCTTTCCTACATCAGTTTCCATAAAAATTTCACATATTACATATCTATACACATACTTCACCTTCCACCCTAATTAATAAATAATAAAATTCGATAAAAGACACGGACCAGTGCCTTTTGCCAGGGGAGCATTGGTTGTCCTCAGTTCACACTTTCTCTTTAACTCTGCCTTAAGTTTTTCTTCAACCTCACATCACACGCTGAGGAACTAAAAACTAAAAGCTCTAGCAACCCTGGGGTTTGGGGCCTGCCCGGCTCCTCCTCCTCGTCCCCCACACCCTGACTCTGGTCCCCTCAGAGTACTATGCTCAGTTTGCTGACTCTTAGTAGTGTTTTGGGGTGGTGGACAGTGGTGTCTCAGGCTCTGTTCCCCATTGCACAAGTAGCTTGCCAACCTCTGTTGGTGGGGCTCTAACCTCTGTCTCTTCTCGCCACCCTTTACCTCCTCAAGTTCACGTTGCTTTTAAAATTTTATTTTTAAAAAAGCAGTGTTTGATCTATGTTTAGAGCTGGTAGTATTTAGGGACTAAGGCTGAAGCCAGTCTGAGAGAGGACTGTGTCACCTCCGCCACGTCTGTGAGCAATTTCTCTGCACCCAGGCACTGAAAGGCACCGTACAAGCCATGCGGGACACATTCGTTCATTCATTCGTCAGTGTCTTAGGTGGGCACACAACAGAGTGCTGTTCTATAGGAAGTGGCCCAAACCAGAACTGTTCTCAGGGGGACAACAGCAGAATGGATGGCCACGTGTAACTGAGTCTCCTGGGAACACAGACCTGAGGACGGACACCTGAGGGGCATGCAGGATTCAGAGCCAGAGTATGGAGAACCAGACTCCATGGAGAAGAGAGGACTGGACAGAGAAGGCAGGCGTGGCACTAACACTTCCCCAGGAGGCGACTTAGCTCACCGAACGCGGACTCAGTATGGACTCCTTGATGAAATGATTATTTTGAACCTTGCCATTGTGCGAGTGGGGAGCAGTTATTAGGATATCTGTGGCTGTCCCCACCCCAGCGGGACGGGAACAGTAACATTTGGAGGTGGGTGAGGATCTGGACCCTGCCTGACAGCAGCTCCTGACTGCCAGCATCTTGGAAAGGGAGATCTGGACCATCACAATCAGCTAGGAAAGTGGCTCCAGCATTGTGGCCCCAGGATCAGGGTTAGTCTTTGAGAGACAGCGATGCTGGTGATGTTGATGGTGATGATCATGATGGCGATAGCAGTGATGGAGATGGTGGTGGTGGTGGTGGTGATGGTGGTGGTGGTGATGGTGGTGGTGGTGGTGGTGGTGGTGGTGGTGGTGGTGATGGTGGTGGTGGCGGTGATGAGAGGTGCCTCTGATTCACCTGGTGGAGAGGTGGAGAGGCGGGCCTCTATGGACGGGCCTGTGGAACTTGAGATCAAGTGCCTCCTCCTAGATCCACTGTGCTCCTGGGCATACTGCTGTCCTCATCCAGTCTCCCTGAACAACTTGCTCCAGAGAAATATGAAGTAACGGCAGGAAGAGGGACCCAGAGCACGACTATGGCAGTGGAGCAGGCCCTGATGTATGACCTGAGGCCCCCAGGAAGGCCACGTGCAGTGGGCAAGACAGGCATGGACCTGGAGTCAGGAGGCGAGGTTAGGTGAGGCAGGATGTAGTGTGGACTTTAGCACACTGAGCCACACTCCCCACTGTGTCCTCAGTGACAGAGCCATACCCCGAGGACACATGTGGCGGCACAGCCTCTCTACACTGTTGTCACCATGCTCCGTGGAGCAGTGCCACCACAGGGGTTTCTCTGACACCTGGAAAGTAATGTTCTGCTCTCTCTTTAATTTCCCTCCATATCAGCGTCCTGCAGAGCCCAAGTCTCCCTAAAGGAGGGCCTCTGATGGGCACATGGCTGACTTTGGTGGCCTTGGGGGACATGGGAGTGTGGGGAGGATGGGAGGAAGGTGTCCTGTCCCACTCAACTCTGTTGGTGCTGATGGCATTCAGGAGTCACCCTGGCCATGGCCATCAGGGGCAGGAGACAAGCAGCATCCCAGGGGATGCAGGTGAGACCTTCAGATCCCTTGCCACCTGAGGAAGGGGCCGACAGGGGCAGGAAGATGATGTAACGTCTCAGAGAAGCAGTCACGAGAGAGGCGAGCAGCATGTCAGCAGGGGAGCAGAGAGGAGACCTGCGGGGCTGGAGGGCCTCACTGGATGTGGGGCAGAACGGAGCTCCCAGATGGGGCTGCCCAGACCCTGCACAGGCGTCTTGGGAAGCTGAGAGGACGGGGTGGGATCGGCCTAGTCTTCCCAAGTAGGCTGGTGGTCCTGCGCAGAGCAGGAACTGACAGCAAACCCTTGGGTTCCCTCCCGAGCGCAGGGAAGCCGGAAGGTGTCACAGCCCAGGCCCCACGGCAGCCAGCCAGAGGCTCCAGGCACCAGGAGAGGGCACGGAAGTGGCGGGTGCCACCGCGAGTCACACTCCAGTAGGCCACAAAGGACAAGATGGCAGAACCTAATTAAGCCCGCGCCGGTTAGCGCATCGATCATAAGAACGACACAATTTACACAGGTGATTAGGCCGCCTAATTACACGCGGAGGCTCCCCGTGCCGGCTCCCTTGCCACGGCGCCTTCTCTGCAGTCTGCTAACC